CCACGTGAAGGGTATCAGATTAAACATGTCAATTAATTACATAAAGTAAATGGGTTGGATTGAAATTAGATTTATCAAATCCGACTTCAACATCGTTGGCCTGCGGTTGCGTGGAGGTTGGACTGAAATCAAATTCTACATATAAAATATGATGGGTTGCTTGAGGTCAAAATTAAATAAATATACTATACATGTATAGACCCAAATTGTAATTTCAGATTGCTTATGTTGCACTTGCAAGTGGAGTGATGGTGGTGCTAATTCTAGCCGGAGAATTTGGTCGAGAAGAGAAAAAGTTTTGGTTGGACTGTTAAGGGCATTTTGAACTCCTTAGTGACATTAGAGCTCAAAGAATCAATTTTCTCCATTATAAATGTGACCATTTTGGGGCTGGAGGTACTTTGTCAGAAAAGCAACCGAAGCTCTGTTTTGAAGCTCGCCGGTCTTTGCTTTGATGGAGCGTCGGACACTCGTCGGCTCCCCTGTTTTTCCCTTTGCCGGACCAGTGCACCCACCTTCGCCGGCGATCTATACCATCAATCAAGTTCTGCATCTCCAAATTTGACACTGTACAACAGTATTTTCTGGCTGTTGTCATTAGAGCTTCTCTTGTTCGTCGTTCGTAGTTTCTAATCGCCGGAACAGTTCTTTCTAGACTGTAAGTTCAGTCTCCCCGGTTCAGTTCGCGTCTCGCCGGGCACTACAATTCTTGCTTCCTGCCGTTCCGTGCTCGCCGTTCAGATCCTTGTCAAAACAACTCTCTATTCCGACCTAATCGCCGTTCCGATCCGCTCATATGTATATATACACATATATGTATATATATATATATATATAATTTGTAAATTTATAAAAAAAAATTAGGGATATTTTAGATTTTTAATATAATTTTTAGGTTAAAGAGTTATTTTAACAAAATAAAAGGATATTATTTTATATCGGGTCATAACTGTTCAAGTAACAATTGGGGTGTAAGTGAAAAACGGTGAGTGATAATTATTTTTAAAAGATGTTTGAATGTGATATTTGACCACCAAATCTGAGGAGGATAGAAGTAAAATTTAACAAAGTATTGTTTTGATTTCTATGTATATATAAATAATAATTTTTACTATTTTACTTAAATAATAATAATACTAATAATAATTTTTACTCATTTTACCTATATAATAATCATGAATGAAATTACTCATTTAGAGTTTAGAGCCGATGTTCAGGGATGGACCCATGATATAGTGGCTCCTCAATTTTTTTTTTTTACTATGATGCCCCATTATTTTTGTCATTTTAATATATATATATATTAACGAAATATTACCACCAATCCCTTAAAATTATTAAAAAAATTCATTATTATCCCTCACTTGAGTTTCTGGTCTGTCCCTGTTGATGTTGTATTTGTTTTTCTAAAATTTTGAATTATTCTTTTATTTTACTAATAATATATTGCATTGAATCCATTTTCTTACATCATGCCTATCCCAAAAGTGTCTCGACTCATCGTGTCTATATCGTGTTTCAACCATGTCAATGACGTGTTCAATCAAAAAAGAATATATTCAAATTGTAAAATATTTCTAGCCTTGTCTGAAATTGCCACGATACCCATAAAAAAAAGTATTTGAGCTTCCTATATAACAATACTTTTTTTTTTTTTTATTTCCCTGTAAATCAACCATTTATTAAAAGAATCGGATACTTAGTCGAAGTATCTAAGAAGTATCATATACGTCTTAAAAATTAAAAAATATAATTTAAAATTATAAATACGTTTAAAAACTATTGAACACTTATCTGCGAGTATTCAAGAAGTATCGATATTTGATACGGACACGATACAAGTACGTCAACTTTGTAGAAATATCCGTACTTCTTAGGCCATGAGTAAAAGTTCTAGTCTTGCAACAGGCATGCTGTGAATTTATGTCTCTGCTTAAATTTTCCTGAAAAAAAAAGTTTCACTTTGTCATTTTCAACGTATGTTATTTTGTTTTGAAACATAGCTTAATTTCTCTTCTTTCAGTTTTTTATATATATTTTCTAAGGCTGTTTTAATTTCTAACCCTATAATTTATTTCTTCCCTTCAACAACTCAATTTGATTGCGTGATATCTTGTGATTGTTTTGATTTCTATGTATATATAAATAATAATTTTTAAAGTTTGTTGGCTAGGCTATACTAACGTCATACACCTTGTACATATTATTTCATATATATAATTGTTTAAAATTTTGAAATATATACACTTACATATAGATACACACACATTTTCCCTTCCGTAGAGAAAAAAACATAAAAGCTACACTACTCAATATAAGAACAGTTAATTGAGAGTGTAGAGAAAAGTATGAACTTGGTACCTCAGCTTAGCATTGTTTAATTATTGTACAAGCAATGACATTTGATTAATTTGTCCAGTTAAGTGCGCATATATATATATATATATTACTAAATTGAAAAAGAAGGAGGTTTATGCAGTGTATTAATTTCATTATTACCTCATAGCTTTAAAAAGTATTTGAATAGAATATAAATAAATATAGGCCAAATTACCCGTACCATTATGTTGTCATCTATCAACTCTACTTAATTTTTGTTTTTTTTGTTTTTTTTTTTTTTATAAATTATAATCAATCTCTACTTAGTCAGTTGTCAGGGAGAAAGAAATTGGATTGAATAACTCATTATTCAGTGCATGCCATATATATATATGATACAAGTTGAAGACAGATGACTCAATGAATATAAAATACTATACAATCTAATTTCCAAGGCCCCAGCTTCTCTTTGATGAGGAATCATTTTCTTACTAGCCAAACAGAACCCAAAGTTGTTGCCATGGTTGGTTAAGTGCCCATTGTGACTCATCCACACCAGGCTTCAGCCATTCACCCGAGACTTAGGCAACAAATACTTAGATATAAGTAGCAACTGCAACTGACAATGACTGTGTTATGAAATAAGGACTTTGGGTTGGCAATGTGTACTTTCACAGGAAAGACAAATAAACATTTGACTATAAAAATAAAGAGATACTAAGTGACTCACACTCAAACTCTCAATCTCAGAATAATATTAAAATTAGAATAAACTCATTCAATTAAGTATCGCGAGTACTTAATATTTTTTGTATCACTTTTGTTGTTTTTGGTATTTTTGATGATAGGACAATAGTGATACACATGTCAAAATTGATCACACAATCACCGATACTGAAATTAATTATTGATGTAATCCCTGCCTTAGTAATAAGTGTACACAATCTGGAAAGATTTTGGAAGAATCTATAAAGATTTTGGAAATAATCTAGATAGACAATTTTCACATAATAAGTGTACAATCCTAAATCCTTTTTTGAATTAATAAGGAATACATTCGTTAGCGGTCGGTGACACTCTTTAACTCTATATTGTTCAAGTCTTACCCTTCTGTAGGTTGTTTATAAAAATGAAATTCTTACTCTATATATAAACATCTTTCTCCCTCTAAAAACACTACATAATTCCCTAACCTTACAGAAATTTATGTCCACTTAAAATCTCTACAAGCTCTTGAATATGCTAAAACATTTTAATTCTTCCCGCAATATTGACTCTAGAACACTACATACTCTTATCGTCAGCACTCGCATGTTGGACCATCCTCGAGACCGACAAATTGACTGGAATTAATTTGTTTTTCTGAAGCTTCATCCAATACTATAAAACATTCATGTTTAAATATTGCAAAACGCCCCAATATTGCAAAATTATCGGCAAGAAAGAATGCTATGGTCATACCTCATTCCTACGACAAAAAGGAAAATCTGTTAAAAGAAAACGAACTAGAGAGGAATTTAAACCTACGGAACCAAATGGAAAACATCAAAATCCACTTTAAAAAATATGAAGTGAATTCACATGACCGGATATGACTGTAATCGAATCGAGATGATGTTGTTTTGATTTTTATGTATATATATAAATAATAAATTTTGTTTATTTTATCTATCTAATTTAAAGTTTAACCAAGAGCTTTGAGGCTCGGTAATATCTTTTAAAGTGGATGGTGAGGGTTCGAGTCTCCAAAAAAACAAAATGGATGTGTGTGTGAGTGTGGTGTGTGTGCCAATGACAAAAAAAATAATAATAATAATAATTTGGAGTTTAGTATTTGTTTTTCTAAAATTTTGTATTATTCTTTTAATTAATCAATAATATATTTTAAATTCATTAAATTCCATTCTTTTAAAAATAATTAATTATAAAATCACCCTAATTTATCCTAAAAGTATCTCAAAAGTGTTTATTTGCCTTTTGAGTCCATAATCCTTAGACCTTGTACATATTGTTTCATATATACAATTGTTTGAATTTGTGAAAGCTTCACTCACACGTACGTATATGGTGACTCTGTAGAACTTCAACATCCAATCTTTTCGTTTGGAAGATGAAAAATTACCAATAAATAACCAATACCCTGAAACTATTAGTACTTTTAATTAATTAATTTATTTATTATTATTATTATTATTTTTTGTTTTTCTTTTTGTTTTTCTTTTTCTGGGGTTTGATAATGAATGAGATATAGCCCACCAAAAGCATTCATTTACGCCATGAATGCACCTAGTGGAAGTAAACTAATAATAATAATTTTGCACTCTCCAATATAACAACATGCATAATTCATAGGAGTATAATAAAAAAATCTTCAAAATCATGAAATTTTGCACAACATAAATAAACTCATAGTTCTCCATCTTTCTCAAAACATTCATTTACGAATTACGACAATGGATGGCCCATCAAATGCTAGCTACAGTCAAAATAATCATTGGCATGTAAAATCTTAGAGTTATGTTAGCTACCGTCTTTAACTCTTTTGACGATTGGATGTAGTGGGTCCCATAGGAAAACCCGTGAGACTCACCGCATCCAACAACGAAAAAGTTGCAAAGCGTGGCTCAATTGGGAAATGTGCCAAATCCTGCAATTGCCCAGAGATGTTAACCCACCTCAGGGAAAGAAAAAAATATATCTTGAATGAATAAATAGATAATACATGTTCATTTGTTCCAGATGGTCTGACTATAAGTTGCTCTTTTACATTACCAGGCACCAAATGTATCTCATTGCTACTTCACTCGCTTTCATAATCTTCTTCACATCCAAAAGAGAAAACGGATGCATCAGCTGCAATTGCCTTGATATCACTCACCCCCGAGTCCACCTTCGTTATCGAGTCAGACCTTTCCACTCCATCAGTTTTTGTTTCTCCGTAAGCATTATTGGTCTGTGCTAGGTCCTTGCTCCCAAGGGACATTTGTTGAGTACCTTGCGTTAGGGTTGCCATTTGCTCCACTGTGGTACCAGATTGTTCAGAAGCTGCTCGGGTTTTCCTGCTCTTCGAAGACACATTTTCTTCTCCATCGCTATCAGAGAATACATCATCATTGTCTACGCTTCCAGATACCTCACTTTGGTCGGAAGTAGATGCAGCCCTATCCGTAGAGGCAGAAGCGTTAACCGATTTTCCATCAGATTGGACACCGGCATCACCAGCTTTGTTACTTGTTGGAATAGTACCATCATAGTCTATCATCACAATCTCAACCATGAAGCCAGGGCAAGGAATTTTCCTCTGCAAAGCACAAGTCCACAAAAAATGGCGCCAAGTGAATGACAGCAAAAAAAGAGAGAACAAACAAATGGAAATTGAAAGACACACACAATAGGAAGGGGGCAAAAAGAACAACCATTAAACACATCGAAAAAAGAAAAGTGTCTCACAAAGATCGACTCAAAAGGCTAACGGGAGATCATCAACAAGGAAGTATCAGGCACTATTTACCTCTTCAAACCCATCAAGATCTGATGTTTTTAAAATTATCCTGTTTTCCATCATTGTTGTATTCAACCAACTGAAAAGAACAAAGTGAAACGAAAAATGAACGAAACACGAATCTAAACAGCAATTCCAGTACATATTTTATACGAACGTAACAGAATTCTACCCACATTTTTTGAGCTGAAAGCAGAGTCCCATGAAGAACTAAATGTTTGCAAATCAAACAATTTGTTCTTATAAGTGGTTGTCATAATTTTATTTTGTCTCCCGTGCTTATCCATTAGTGGACTAAATTGACTACAGCACAGATGAATTTATCTTTTCATAGAGTTGCATTTTTTTTTTTTTTTTTAAATCTGGATTATATGAGTGTTATTTATGATTAAGCACATGATTAACGAGAAACAATAGAAAAGAGTGCAGACCAGTAGAATTCTCCATGGCGGTCATGAAAATGGATTTTGAAATCTCCCATCAACTCTGTCAGACCAGGCTCTCCTGGTAGAGCGAAGACCACAATCCCTTTCTTTGGCGCACGAATCCAGAAGTCTTCTGGCTGCAAAAAATGGAATATAATAAATTTTAATAAAGCTTGCACAAGAAACTCCAGTAGTAATGTATCTGCAGAAAGATATTGGACCAATCCAGCAATCAACTCACTATGCAACCAAATGATTGGAAAGAATATATACCATTAGATCCTTAGTCTTTGGATGTTTTCTTGTTGAGAAAAGAGTTCCTGTAAAGTAGTAAAAACATCTATATATCATGGACCCACTTATTACACATGAGATAAAAGCATAATGAAATTATTAATCGCATATCTGAACAACTTTTCTAATGGTATAGACCTTCAATGAAGTAACCCAAAACCAAACAAATAAATACGCAAAAAAAAAAAAAAAAAAAAAATCTTAATAAATACACAAATTGATCAGGATGATAGTTATTAGAACACGGGATTTTAAACAATCAAAATTCTTAATTCAAAGATAATTATTACCTCATCTTCAGACTTCCCAAAACAAATATCACGCATAAATAAGACAACTTTGAAAAATTGATATATATTATATATATATATATATACATATATATATTGCCATTTAAGATTTGCCAACACAAGAAGACAAAGTAGTTTGCGAAGCTTAAATTCATTCAACTCTTTGTGAGTGAAACAATTATACTAATTAACTTTTTACAGGTTCCAAGTCTCAAAAAGTGGAGAGCAATCTATGAGGAAAGACTTTATGTTACCCATCAGTGGATTCACTCCAACTAAGGAAGGTAATGATTTCAATTTAAGTGGATGTGCTCCCAAGAAATCCTAATCAACTAGGTGTTGGTAGTATCACTAGGGATGAAGTTTGGCTAGTTGATAGAGAACAGTGGCAGCAGCCTTTTAAGGTATATAAAAGGCATGGCAAGGAGGGTTCTAAGGCTCAAACCTTAATTTGGCACATGCTAGACGATGGGTCCACTTGGAGTCTTGCATAATTAGGGGGATTTGGTCAAATTGCATAATTATGGTAGCTTGCATCAATTTAAATCAAATTACATCCGTCCATAGTAATTACTTTTATTATGCTAGAGTCAAATATTGATTACCTCAATTACGGGGTGATTATTTTTATTATGCTATAGAGTCAACTTTTGATTACCTCAATCATGGGGTAATCTGAGGGTCATAAGTTGCTATAAGAAGGGTATGATGTAAACTTGCTGAGGCAGTCAATGAATGAATAAAAATATCTTTTAAGATTTCTTTGTGAGTGATTCACAAATTCTGAGGGTGTGAGGCCTTTCCTAGGTGTGATGCCTAGACCCTATTGGAGTGATTCCAGTAGGTTTTTGTTGTTTTCAATCCTCTCTCTACTAATATTTTGAACCATAGCTCTGTTTATTTTAATTAACAACCACTTCTCCTTTGGTTTTCTACATTTCTACTATCAAACCTCCAAATTCTGCCCTAGTTCTTGAACTTTCAGACTCTGAATTCTTTGAGTTCTTAGCTATTTAAGGCTGCTCTCTTGTCCTACATCAGTTTTTGGTATCAGAGCTTGAGTTGACATCATGTCGACACAATCAGGAAATGAAAGATCGGGTATTAATCAGCACGATGAGCTGATATCTAAGCTTGTGGAGCAGCTCAATGGGTTGAATGTCCAATTCAATGAGTTAGAAGCTCGAATGTGTCAGCCTATTAACAATTTTGCTCCTGCTGCATCCAGTACAAATGATGGCAGTGGTCGAGAGCAACAACATCCTTTAAATATGCAGCAAAGGCAGAATGTGAGGGCTGATCCACCACCACACCAAATGTTCGAGTGTCCGAGAAATCTGCTGGGAATGAATTATCATGTGCCACATGATAACGCTGGGGATATCACAAAGAAAATTAAAATGGAGGTGCCAGATTTTGAAGGTAAGGTTGATCCTACTATATTTTTGGATTGGCTTGCTTCAATTGAAGAATATTTTGATTGGTATGATATGAGTGATGATCGTAGAGTGAGATTTGCTAGAATGAAGCTTGTGAGCCTAGCAAAAATATGGTGGACTGGTGTTGAAGGGGATATTAGGAGGCTGGGACAACCACCAATCAACACATGGCAAGAAATGAAGGCAAAGCTTCGAGAGAAATACATGCCGGCCAATTACCATGACAAACTGTGTGATCAACTTATCAATCTAAAGCAGGGCGGCCTGTTAGTCGCAGAATATATGCAAAGATTTGATGAGTTAAAGACTAGATGTCAAGTTGTGGAAGACCCGCGGCAAACATTTGCAAGATTCAAGGCTGGTCTAAGGTCTGATATCAGAAGGGAATTGCTTCGCCAGTCATTATATGGTGTTGAACATGCTTTTCAGGTTGCATTGGACATGGAAGAATACTTGAGTTATCAAACGGCTTGAAGATCTGGATATCAAAACTGGGATGCAGCACCCAAGAAGTCCAGTGATGGAAATCGCAGCACACAATCAGTAACAACTCAGCCGACTGGTGGAAATGCTGGATCAAAACTGCCCTTTTCTAACATGGCTGATCCTAAAGGGAAGAGTATTGTGGCCAACAAAGGTAGTGGAAGGAGTAACAAGTGCTTCAAATGTGGAGAAACAGGTCACATGGCATACCAATGTCCAAAGAAAAATTTACACATTGGGATAATGCCTGAAGAAGAGCCTGAAGAACATGGGGGAGAGGACAATGGGAACATGTTTGACTATAGGATCTACAACCCTGATGATCTAGAAGAGGATGAAGATGTTCCATCAATCTCCGTTGTGAGGCACATCCTTGCAGCCCCTAAAGTTGAAGATGAAGATTGGCGGCGCACATCTATTTTTCAAATGCTAGTTCGTTGTGGAAATCAAGCTCGAAAGGTCATTATTGATGGCGGAAGTTGCATGAATGTTGTGTCTGCAGCCACGGTTGAGCGCCTCAAGCTTTCAGTCCAACCACATCCACAACCATTCAAAGTGGCGTGGATAGATAGTACTTCTATTCCGGTAACTCAACGTAGTCTCATTTCTTTCTCTTGTGGAGCTTATAATGATTCTGTTTGGTGTGATGTAATTCCCATGAAAGTGACACATATTCTTCTTGGGCGGCCTTGTATTTATGATCGAGATGTGTATCATTGTGGGAAGGAGAATACATACACTTTCTTGTTTAACAACAAGCAAATTATTTTGAAGCCTATGTCCTCAGCTGAAATGGAGAAATATAAAGGTGGACAGGCTGTAGATGATGTGAAAAACAAGAAAAAGTCCCTCAATCTCCTTTCCAAGAAGAGGTTTCAATTGGAAAGTAAAGAGATGGGTGTTGTATATGCTGTTGTAGCAAGGGAAATCAAAGAAACTGCTGCTGTTCATGATTCTTCAATGCCATCAGAGGTCGCCAATTTGCTGTCAGATTTCTCAGATTTATCTCCTGAAGATCTCCCTAATGAACTTCCTCCTCTACGTAATATCCAGCGTGCGATCGACTTGGTACCGGGATCTCCATTGCCTAACCTTCCAGCTTATTGTTTGAATCCAAGCGAGCATGCCGAGCTTCTAAGGCAAGTTAATGAGCTGCTGTCCAAAGGATTTATCCGGGAAAGCTTAAGTCCTTGTGCTGTCCCAGCTTTGCTCACACCAAAGAAGGATGGTAGTTGGCGCATGTGTATTGACAGTCGCGCCATCAACAAGATTACAATCAAGTATGGGTTTCCTATTCCTCGAATCGATGATTTGCTAGACATGGTGGCTGCTTCTTGTATATTTTCAAAGATAGATCTGAAAAGTGGCTACCATCAAATTCGCATAAGGCCAGGGGTTGAATGGAAGACAGCTTTCAAGACAAAAGATGGACTCTACGAGTGGCTTGTTATGCCATTTGGTCTTTCCAATGCCCCTAGTACATTCATGCGCTTCATAACTCAGGTATTGCGGCCCTTTATTGGTCGTTTTCTAGTTGTTTACTTAGACGATATTTTAATCTACAGCAAAACGAGGGAGGAACATATTTCCCACCTTCAACAAGTTATGAGAGTTCTCCGCCAAGAGAAACTTTACATGAACTTAAAGAAGTGTTCCTTCATGTTGCCGAGTGTGGTGTTTTTGGGCTTTGTTGTTTCTTCCAAAGGGGTAGAAGCTGATCCTGATAAAGTGAAAGCAATTCTAGATTGGCCAATTCCCAGCACATTGCAGGAAGCACGGAGTTTTCATGGGCTAGCTTCATTCTATCGGCGATTTATTAGAAATTTCAGCACAATAATGGCCCCTATCACCAATTGTATGAAGAACAGCCAGTTTGTTTGGACAAAGGCAACAGCAAAGGCTTTCGAAGAAGTGAAGTAAAGAATGACTGCAGCTCCTATTTTACGCCTTCCAGACTTCTCAAAATTGTTTAAAGTTGCATGTGATGCTTCACAGGTCGGAATTGGAGGTGTACTCAGTCAAGAAGGACATCCGGTTGCATATTTTAGTGAGACACTTAATGAAGCAAAGCAAAGGTATTCCACTTATGACAGAGAATTTTACGCTGTGATTCAAGCACTTCGCTACTGGCGTCATTACCTTCTTTTTAGGGAGTTCGTTTTGTATTCTGGCCCTCAAATATATTAACTCCCAAAGGAAGTTAAGCCACCAACATGGAAAGTGGGTTTCATTCTTGTAAGAGTACTCATTTGTCATCAAACATAAAGCTGGTGTTGAGAACAAGGCAGCCGATGCACTTAGCCAAGTTGTTCATATTCTTGCCTCCATGGCTGTTCAAGTTCTTGGTTTCGATATGCTTAAACGAGATTACTTATCTTGCACGGACTTTAGCATCATACATGCTGATTTGATAGCTGGGCAGCAGGGTACATATCCTGATTATTCGGTGCATGATGGTTATCTCTTCAAAGGAACTCAACTTTGTTTGCAAAAGACGTCTCTTCGTGAACATGTGATATGGGAGTTGCATGCTGGTGGGACAGCAGGTCATTTTGGAAGAGATAAGACCATTGCCATGGTGGAAGATCGTTTTTTTTGGCCAAGTTTGAAACGGGGATGTGGCCAAAATTGTTTCTCATTGCAGAACTTGTCAAATATCCAAGGGAAGAAAGAAAAATACAGGTTTATATACGCCACTCCCAGTCCCTCATGAGCCGTGGCAAGATTTAAGCATGGACTTTGTTCTTGGGTTGCCTAAAACAAGTCACAGTCATGATGCTATATTTGTTGTTGTGGATCGTTTTTCAAAAATGGCACACTTCATTCCTTGTTCCAAGACATCTGATGTTGTCCGCATTGCCAAGCTTTTCTTTCAAGAAGTTGTTCGGCTTCATGGATTGCCAAACACCATTGTTTCTGATCGAGATACAAAATTTATGAGTTATTTTTGGCGCACATTATGGAAGATGCTGAATACAAGGCTGAAATTTTCCTCTTCTTTTCACCCCCAAACTGACGGCCAAACTGAGGTTATTAATCGCAGCTTGGGTGATTTGCTTCGCTGTCTTGTTGATGACCATATTAGTAGCTGGGACCAGATTCTTCCTATGGCTGAATTTGCCTACAACAGTTCTGTAAACAGATCCACCGGGCGCAGCCCGTTTGAGATTGTGACAGGTTTATGTCCTCGGAAACCAATTGACTTAGTTCCTTTACCAATTGTGGCACGCCCTAGTGCTGAAGCTGATGCTTTTAGTAAGCATATCAGAGACATCCATGCGGAAGTTCGAAGGAAGATTGCACTGAGCAATGAGACTTACAAAACACAAGCTGATTTGCGGAGGAAGATTGCTGAATTTGATGAAGGAGATATGGTTATGGTGCGAATAAGACCGGAACGATATCCTAAAGGTGCTTAGAAGAAGCTTCACGCAAAGAGTGCTGGCCCATACAAAGTTCTCAAGAAAATTAGCTCCAATGCTTATGTTCTTGACCTACCAGAAGAGATGGGTATCAGTAAAGTCTTCAACATTGAAGATCTCACCTTGCATTCAGGCCATTTTGCTGATCCATTCCTTGTTGATCCTACCACTCGCCTTCCCCCAGCCCCACATGTAAAGGAGGAAATAGAAGATGTTGTTGATCATCAACTTGTTTCAACAAGGGCTGGCGGTTATCAAAAATTCCTTGTTAAGTGGAAAGGACGGCCACTTTCTGATTGTACATGGATTAGCGACAGTGAGTTCCAACATCTAGCTCCAGACCTCTATGAACAATTTCATGCATTTACCTCGCCGGGGTCGAGTTTTTCCAAGCCAGGGAGAATTGATAGAGAACAGTGGCAGCAGCCTTTTAAGGTATATAAAAGGCGTGGCAAGGAGGGTTCTAAGGCTCAAACCTTAATTTGGCACATGCTAGACGATGGGTCCACTTGGTGTCTTGCATAATTAGCGGGATTTGGTCAAATTGCATAATTATGGTAGCTTCCACTTGGAGTCTTGCATAATTAGGGGGATTTGGTCAAATAGCATAATTATGGTAGCTTGCATCAATTTAAATCAAATTACATCCGTCCATAGTAATTACTTTTATTATGCTAGAGTCAAATATTGATTATCTCAATTACGGGGTGATTACTTTTATTATGCTATAGAGTCAACTTTTGATTACCTCAATCATGGGGTAATCTGAGGGTCATAAGTTGCTATAAGAAGGGTATGATGTAAACTTGCTGAGGCAGTCAATGAATGAATAAAAATATCTTTTAAGATTTCTTTGTGAGTGATTCACAAATTCTGAGGGTGTGAGGCCTTCCCTAGGTGTGATGCCTAGACCCTATTGGAGTGATTCCAGTAGGTTTTTGTTGTTTTCAATCATTTCTCTCTACTAATATTTTGAACCATAGCTCTGTTTATTTTAATTAACAACCACTTCTCCTTTGGTTTTCTACATTTCTACTATCAAACCTCCAAATTCTGCCTAGTTCTTGAACTTTCAGACTCTGAATTCTTTGAGTTCTTAGCTATTTAAGGCTGCTCTCTTGTCCTACATCAGTAGTTCTATATAGTTCTTCTCTGCTCTGTAAGATAGGTTTTGGTATGAAATTAAGGTTTCATGCATGTGTAGCTTTTCTACCTTTTATTCCGACTTTCATAGAGGACTCTTGGATTGTGAAGTCTAACTCATTTCTTCCATACCTCAATGCACAGATTAACCATTTTACCCTCATGTGTAAACTTATTTAAGTACAAAGTCCAAAGCAAGAATTTATAAAAAGTATAAGATAAATGTACAAGCAACAACAGTAGGGGTTTGACACAAGAAAACCTAGGGCGATCAGAGGCAAGCTGAGTGACCTGTTAAGCAAGTGGAGTAGTCACCACCATGGCAGCAATAAAAGGAAAAAACAATGTATAAGATACATAATAATCAACGAAATGTTAGAAAAATTGCATTTACATGAAAGAAAAGAAAAGGAACCCAAAGAGCCGCATGCAAACGGATAGTGACCCTACCAATGAATATATACTAAATTGAATAAAAATTAAAATTTTGGTAACAACCAAAGTTGCCATTCACATTTGAAGGATAAAAAGAACGAGGTATAGGAGGATCTTGTAGATTACCATTATGATCAGAAATAGTAATGGAAGGCCTAATCCAGTATGGGCACTTGTGGAAGCGAAATCCCCTTAAAATGCACCTGTGGAAATTAACTTTAGTACCTTCTTGAAAATCAAAATGACGCAATTTGAGAAAGAATATCAGAAGAGTACCTACGTCCAGGTTGATTTTCACCATTGAAGTTTGTTAAGAGGCGCTCAAAGTATTTCACGTACCTCTAGGAAATGCAAAACATTAATCAGTGATAAAAATAATAATAATAATTTAATTAAAAAAAAATACAATCCTGTGAAAGATATTGACTGACAATTTGGCTTGGAAGAACTAGAGCCTTCCCATCTACACATCTTTTCTGGTTATAATAATCGATGCACTCTTCAGCTGTTGGGAATAACTGCAGAAAGATGCTAAACAAACTTACAACAAAGTTACAAAAACAATGACCAATACAAAAAATTACCACCATGCTCTCAAAACCCCAGCATCTTCGGGGTGCTAATGACTGAATCTCACCTTTAAGAAAAGGAGGAGGCTTGAAATCATTAATCCTGTCCTTGCCATACCAGCTTTACAATGAACAACCACCACATTTAGAATGTCATCCTTCAACCATGAGTGCGCACTTTGACAAAACGATGTTATGAGTTGAATTGGGGGGCAATTATGGTCATCAAACGGGAAAGTGGCAACCTGGAAATGAGTCAGACATGAAATATGGAAGAAGCTGCAGAATCACTTTTCCACAACAATTTGATAAGGAGCAAAGCCTGCAGGCTCTATTTCAAGCTATCATTTCCTTTTCGCTCCCTCCCTCTGTTGTTTGGATGGAAAATAATGATTCATATTGACATATAACTACATCCCAAAGCATAATTGAATGTGCTATAGAGTTTACAGATGGAGGAAAATAAAATATCAGTTTCACTAAAATGAATTTTAATTTTGAATAGGTGTTGATTATCAGGTATCTTTCCACACAAAATATACCATAAATTCATTGTTGACCATTCATCTCAACTTAAAGAAGTGAGCATATGGTGTATATTGGAAAATGAATGTCCCTAAGTTTATATTGGGAAATGCAAACTTAGTTATTAGTTTCATGTAGGAGCAACTTGACAAATCACTTCTTGGTTTGCCTTCCAATGCAAAGGCTATGGACTGAACTAGTTCTTTATGTTTCTGAATTGGCATGAGAATCTTGGATTTTCCAAGAACTCAATCACATCTTCAGTTTCTAGCAATTTTTAAAATGAAATAATTGGGCTAACCTACCACATTCCTCTCCAAAAAATTAGAAGCGAAAATATTCATACTGGAAATTATTTTTCTTCAACGAGAAAATTTTCAATACTCATACTTTAAATAGAAAAAGAATATGCAGTTTATAAGTTGCAAGATAAACAGAAATGTGTATTCAAGACAAACAGAACCTAGTCTGATGAATGATGGATAGAGCCATATTAATGCTGAGAAGCAGTTAAGATTAAGTATCCCAACACAACAGACACAGGCCCTGCTATTGGTAACATCTGAAGCTTTTCAGATTCATCATTACTACAAGCATCTTTAATTCACAATATTTGATTTATGCTATAACTTTCAATGTTGCATATAGTGAAAATACCAAAAAAGTAAATAAAGAAGAAAAATCACACCTTCCCCTCAAATAATGAAGCATCATACAACCTCTCTGAACAAAGATTGTACACTTTGTACTTTCCCTGCATATTAAGATGCTTGCTTTTAAAATCCGGGAATCTAAATAAATATTAGAACATATACAGAGTAAAAGAGTGCCCCAAAACCAGAAAATATAGCATTACTACAGATAGACAAGGCAGGATTTAGTATTACTCCTGTCACAATGTAGCAGCCTAAAGAAGAGAAAAACACTGTAAAATATTAAAAACAATAAAACTAGTCATCCATCAAAATAATGTACTCAGGACCAAATAACAATATGAACTTGAAACAAGATCTGCAGCACATGTGATGTCCTTAGTCATTTCGAAAAGAACCACCTAACTAACTCGGAACTAAACAATTCAACAGACTGAAGCAACTACTTGGACTGGGATACATGAATTATTTATAGCCAGAAGTTATATCTAAAACCATATCATCCATGAACATGTTGGCACTACACTCATCACCTCAAGTTCTTATAGGCCTTCTTCCTCCCGTTTAACTAGTGCCTTAACTTGAATCAGATATCCTAAAGAAGATCATCATTATTAGAAACTTCATATGTTATGTTGGCCAAGCAACAAAATTAAATCACGAATCTTAATAATGTCCCTAATGACATAATGCTACTATCTAATGATTTCCAAATTGCATTTTAGTTGCATGGCAATGCAAAACAAACAGTTTTCTTCCAGGGCAATCTAACCAGATTTCCTTTAGTAACCAAGTTTCATATGGTTCAAGTCTTGAATTCAAAAATATTACCTTATGATGAGTTTCGAAAAACTTGATCACTTCTTCCATGTGATTTCGATAGAACCCCTGCATCACATTACTAAGACAATATTATTAAAATATGTATATACATACACATATATTATACGAGGGAGATGGACGTGGTCAGTTGAATTCAATAATAAATCATATGTGATGAATTAATTTTCAATAGCAAACCATATTAATTGTTTACCTCAACATATCCAAAAAACCCAGAGCTCATATCACCAGCAGGGAATCCCATAGCAATAATATTCTCAGTAATATAAGTCATATCCAGATCAAATCCTCCTTCCTGAAAATCAGGTATAATATCATGATGACATCATCACTAACATCTCCTTTGTCTTCTTTTTCTTTTTCTTTTCTTTATGTGTGTGTGTGTGTGCGCGTGACGCGTGTTGGGTGGGTAAGTGTGTGGGGGTGGGGGTTTAAATTAATTGAGAAAAAAATGTAAGATCAATTCATTTGAGTAAATACATGAAGTAAGCTACTTAAGAATACAATGTAAACAAAACAACATAAAATATGAAATTGTACTTTTCAGAAATTGTGCAAGATCATAAAAATGAAGAAGCTATAGAATTTGAAGATTGAAAAGCCTATCCAATACACAAAATAGTGAAACATGTCGAGTCAATAGCATTAATAAAGCGCATTTGTTCAAATAGACATTATAACAACTCATAATAAAAAAGTGTACAGTTCCAACCTAAAAAATGCTTGTTAAACTACCTTCATTTTTTCAAATCATAGCTAATCTAAGGCTTGGTAAACAGCTTTCATCTATTTATACTTTCATTTAGTTTTCTTTTGAGTAATTTACTCCAAATAGTTTGGATGAGGCTATATTCAATTTTTTGTGAATTTCTGTGTGTGTTCTTTTTTCTTTTTTTCTTTTTTCTTTTTTTTCTTTTTTCTTTTTTCTTTTTAATAAAGAGAAAGCAATGAGATAAAAAATTTACTAGCATGGGAAATAAAGATGACTTAAAGTCTCACTTGATGACGGACTAATAGCACAACAGAATTACAAAGCATTCTTTTATCCAGTTAATCAGTTTTATGTATTTTTTAAGGTTTATTCTTATTCTTTGAATTTGAGACCTAAAATCTAGGATTATTTGCAAGGAAATCCATGTAATATACGCGAGCTTTTGCAAGCTGTTAGTCATGCATGTTATTCATAGACTCCTGGATGGCTAACAGCTTCTTTCAGGTTTATGGAGAAAACATTAGTTCTTGTATATGTATGACGTGATGACTGAGAGTGTTTTGGCTCTTTTGTACCAGCAGTTAAGTTCACAGCTGCATTAATCAATTTGTTAAAGATCTTTTCTTTTCTTGATTGCATAGTTCATGACTTCAGGGAGACATGCTGTTAAATAAATGAGACCTCATATGCATGCATAACAAGGAATAAGCACAGTCATCAACACTATACACCCTAATCGTCATATGATTAAGATCCAACGACTGCAGCAACAATCTACTGAATAATTATCCAAATTTGAAATTGCTGCAAGGGGCAAAACTGATTTTTCTGTAGCCAAAACTCCATAGGTACTCCAGTAAAGCTGAAATGATTACTTCCATTACTGCCACTCCTATAGTTGCAGCATTAACTAGTTAATTATCAAAAGAAACAGCAGAAGCATCAGACCACCATGATTTTTCACCATGTTCGTCATTCAAATGCACATTCTGTTGCTTCGACAAGTCCCATGAGCATGTCAAATGGGGCAAAATTCCAATTACATGGAAGATGGACCTCTTTGATAAATGACATGAATTCTTATGTGGTATACAGTTACATGGAAGATGCACCATACATCTTTCCTTTTTACACTAGGAAGTGTCATTTGTCATTTGCCATGTGTGTTTTATTAAATTTCTTTTAAAAAAGGATGAAGATAAAAAAAAAAACCCCTAAACTATGTCCGAATTTTCAAATAACCCCCTTGAAGTATATTTTGTGCATAATGCCCCCTGAATGATCACATTCTATTTTTCATTAAATGAACATAATGCCCTTTCTTATTGAATTACACTTGATCCAATTTACTTATTTAAATAAATTATGAAAGAAAAAAAAAATCATACTAATTTGATGACACTAACTGTTTCCGATATGTGTCGTTCTCTTGACGTGTTTCCTGTTTTCTTTCTATCTTCTAGGTGTTTATATGCCTGTTTTAATATTTGCCTTACAGAAGAAAGGCAAAATAAGATTAAGACATAAGATGAAACTTTTTAGATCATTAAATTAGCTTTTCTGCAACAAAAGTTCACTGTTTTTCTGACCGCCATCCAGAATGTAGAATGCAAGGGTGCAAGCATCTTTTTCGACAGTAATATGGTTAATTATTTTCAGAATTATATGATGATGCAGCTGAGCTATGAAAATTTCATTATTTAATATAAATTGTTTCAAAATATCCATTCTTTCAGGCTAAAAGATCACAGATGTTCTTTGGGAGATATTCCAACTGACACACAAGTGGCATCCAAAGTAGTAGTTTTACCGCACATTAGTTCTGTGGTACTTCTTGATTGATTAAGAAGAAGATGATAGCTGATAGTGAGGCCCAAGACAAAATTTAATTACACTAAAATACCCAAGGGAGAAATCACCCAAAAAATTTGTGACGCTCGCTTACTGACTATTGCTCAAAACGAAAAGTAGCTAAAAATTAAATGAAAAACAGTTCAAGGACTTGTTGTTGGACTAGGATACTGATAAAAATAAATAAAAATAAAAATCCCAGCAGCAGTAACATCATTAAGGTACCTGGTATCGTCGTTTGTTTTGGGAGACAATGTGGCGTGCCTTAACCTGCACAGCCTTGACTGCACTCATGGATGAGTCAACTAACCCTTTTGCAAATGATTCAATAATACTTGATTGAGAAGTTGTTGAAATGCCTTTAGAATTCTCATTTGCCCCAGAATCTTTTGCAGGCAAATGTAGTCCAAACCCACTGGCAAGACGTGCAAAGGGTGACTTCGTGGCATTTTCAGTCTGTGGATTCTCTTGCGCTGGTGCTAATGGCTGTGGAAGTTTAAGATTTCTGGCCCAAGATGATATGCCAGAAGTAGATAACGTAGGTGACTCCTGTGAAGAACTCTGTCGCTCAGGGATAGCAGGAGCAGCAGGTTCAGCAACAGAAGCTTTAGCAGGAGGTGAAGAAGATGAGTCGGCAGTTTCAGCAACAGAAGCTTCAGCAGGAGGTGGAGAAGATGAGTTTGCAGATTCTGAATCCATTCCACCAGCAAAACAGAGAATGTCCAAAAACTGGTCCAGAGAAGAGACCTAATTATTTTTTCATTCGTTTGATAGGTAAGCAACTCATTTATACAGCATGAAAAATGATCACCATGGTTGCATACGAAACTAGAATGCACTTTTAAGTAGTTAACCTAAGCAAAACTAATGGAAACACATGACTAGAAAAGTAAAAATAAAAATAAAAAAATCAACACAAATTAAATAGAAGATGATTGCCCTAACGCCATTAAGTAGTAAGTACGAGGCAATTTCAATGGTCAATGATAAATATTTAATAATTGCCAAGCAGCAAAGTTGTTGGTCAATGTTTATTGTCAAACCACACCAGAGTTCCACATATGCATGCATGTTAATAATCAAACATGGTGAAAATCATTTTCATCATACAAATGAAGCAGTTGTGAGTCCTTCAATTTTTATATATTAGAGCTATTGTAACATATTTGTGATGTTGTGGCCCGAATTGGGTTCAGGGTCCCGTTGCAACCCGTTTTCGACCTGATGTTGAGCCTTGTGTGACCCTTTTTTGCTTATGGGTAGTGGACCCTGTTTAGTACTCTCTTGTAGCCTGATATATAGGGGCCTTTAGGGTTCAGAGTGGGATTATAGAGAACATTGAAAATCGCAGAGAAAGAGACAGGGACTGAGAGCGAGATCTAGGTTTTGGGGGCTGAAACTTGTAATCTTCTGCTTTTCACATAGTGAAATCTTTCGCCGTATCTCCACCATGGACGTAGACACAACTTGTGTCGAACCACGCTAAATCCTTATGTTCTTTGTATTTAGCGTGTTTACTTTTCTGTCGTGTTTTGTGATTTGTTCTTGGTTCGCTGCGTTTGTTGTAACAATATTATTTAACAAAATTTTAATGAACAATGTAGCTGCACAATGCATATTGTATATAACAAATATGAAATGGTCTGCATTATATGTAGTTTCCAAATTTCAGCCTGCATGTATGTCATAACTAACATTCCAAGAGTTTACATGTCTTAAAATTGATTGCAGAACTTTTGCTAGAAAAACAATACAATGCTACTGATGTAGCACAGCTTTAGAAAACTTGGAATAACGCTGCCTACAATTTGGTTTATGATGGGCGAAGGTCATAGAAAGTTTGTAGGTTTTATGGTTTGAAAAGGTAGAAGGAAAATAATAGGACCAGACATAAAAGTGTTGGGATTTGCTTGGTTTCAAAAGTGATTGTTACTGGAGTTGCAGAGAATTGGATGTTTGAAATTCTGGCAAACAAATACGGTGTTACTGTTAAATTTTAGACCAAATGGTAGGGAAAAGGGTCAGAGTTGATTAGAACTTGGTATGGTAATGCTTTGGGGATGAAATAGGCACCATTCTGGGGATCCCATTGTTAGTAATTAAAGAGAATAAGAAGAACAAGAAAAGAAGTAGAATCTAGGAATCTGACTTACAATTCCTTATATATCACCTCTAAGGTGAGGTTGCATTATACATCACATAAAATTTCAAAATCTTCTCTTAAATTGCCAACTAAATAGAAAGATTATATATATATATTTAAAATATGAGTTAAAAACTTTGACTAGTTAGAATATCCTAGAGCTATAATAGTTAAGATAATTTATGAAGTCCTTTGATAGTTAAGATAATTTTCCATTCAAAATATAACCCTAAATCCATATAACTCATCCACCTACCTTTCCATCTTCAAACACAGCACACCAAATTGCATACATTTTCTTATTCAGAGTTTGGTCTTTTAGTGGAACACTGAGTACAACACCATTATATAAGTATGTATATGCACTTCTCACTTATCAAAAAAAAAAAATGTATATACTCTTCTCATTTTCCATATACATAGATTCACCAGATTCAGTAGACAGAATTTGGCAGCAATCAGCTAGAAAAGAAGGAACTTACTCTGTTCTGCAACACACACACACACACACACACACACATATATATATATATTAAAATAACTGAAGCCAAGTTTAATTGTTCTAATAACTGTTCTATACAATTTACATTTCAAGTTTAGAGATGTACACTTATCACACTGTTTTGGCTTCAAATTCCTTTACTTAACATTCGTCTACACTCAAATCCATTCAATCCACAATACTCAACCAAAAATAAATAAATAAATAAAAATTTCCATCCATTGACAACACACATTTCCGTTACAGTTAACTATAGAAATTAAAATTATGATTCAGTAATGCAAATATTCTGACATGATATGTGTACGTATATATATATATATATATATTTGTGTATATGTATATGCACATTTAGACATACAAGTAACAGATATGTACATGCGTGTGTTAATGTGTGAAATTAATGAATCAATACCAGTGAGAGAGTAAGATCTAGAACCGAATCATGATTTGCATTGTTAAATTTAATAAATTTAGAGATCGTAGAGAGAGAGAGAGAGAGAGATCACTTACGAAGATTGAAGAAAAACCTCCTTTTAGCTTATTTTATTAGTCGAAGGATTCGAGGTGGGGTTGGTAATAGTTTATGCTTTTATTTATTTATTTTTCTCCGTTTCAAAAAATATGAACTGGGTCACCGACTAAGCAGTTTGCGTCCCATTCAGATCACCCGCTCTTACCGGTCAACCCCATAAGAATAACCGATGGATTTTTTTTTTATTTTTTTATTATAATTTTTTTTTCCCCATTAGTAGTGTGAGGGGAGGGTAGGCTTGGAGATGGGGATCTAGGAACTCTACCAATTAAGTCGTTGGATAATGCCCAAATAACTTATGAATGACTCCGAGACATATATCAATTTGAGTTTGGATCTTAACATTTTTGTTATGCTATGCTCTAGACGCTAATAATACATTAATGGAAATTGACCACATTAGTTTTTTTTTTTTTTTTCTTAGTGACCATATTAATTTTAATTTAAAATTAATTATGTTAAACTTCAATTTAATGTGTTAGATAAAATTCTTATTTCAATGATTTAACGCTATTCTTTTTTATATTTGAAATAATAGTGTTGAAGTCTCCGTTTGAAATTAAATTTCGATTTAAGTTACAATTACTCACATGTACTGTTGGACTCAATCCTTTCCAATAATTTTTTTTTCCCGCAGTGTTATTATTGCACTACATTTATTTTGAAATTTCACCACTTTCTGTGATGAATTTGTTGACCCTAAAATCGGCTGGCTAGAGCCGATCTTAAATTGATGGAAAACGGGCGTGCCAGAACCAAACATATGGTTCAATTGTATTTTGTCAACTTATAGTCTCTTAGGGAATGTTGACTTCAGGCGATTATAAGAGATAGAGAACAAATAAACTCTTAAATAAGTTCAATATTGCCTTAATTAAAAGGACTTTCTGTAAACAAATTATAGTAACGTAACAAGAGAATAGAAAGGGGGAGATAATGGATATAGCAAGAAAAGAAAAGGAAAGAATAAGGAGAGAGGGAGAGAGAGAGATACTGAGAGATTGAGATAGAGAGATAAAGATGAAGAAGAAATAGCAAGGATGCTATTCTTAGAAAGGCTTAAAGAAGCAAACAAATAATATTAAGGATTCTGAGTGTGCTGGACCTCTAGTACAGCGTACCCTTTTGTTTATTTATACACAATATTGTAAACAAATTCCAACCAACAAGAATTCCAATTACAATAAAACTCTCTACTAATTTTAAATTCAAACTAAGATTCCTAGATAAAGATTAATTGGTAACTAACAAAACAAATCTTATCTGACATAAAGTGTCTCAAAATATCTTAAAAATCTTCCTATCCGATCACAACTTTGCCATGTTACTGTACTAATGCCATCATAATTGTAATCCAGTCTGAATCCACATTCTCAAGCCTGCTTCCATCAGTCCATCAATCAGCCCAATATTCGTGCAGCCCAAATACTTGTTTCCATCAGTTATCAAGCCCATGTACTCTTGGCCCATGACAACTTTGCCCTGCATATCAAATCCAATTAAAGCCCAAACCCGATTACCAAAATGGGTGTCAACAATGCCCCCAATTTTGGTAGCCGTTTTAACCCTTCGGCTTCCAAAATTTGAATACACCCATTGCATTGGGACTTAGCATACATATCATATAATCTCTTGAGTTATATCAGAAGTAGATTTCCCAAAAATGCCGATCACACTAACCTATCTTGTCATTAATGACATTGTGATAATCCTCTCTTTTTCCACTAAAAACACGTCTCTTCTCTCATTTGAACAAGACTCTGCAAACCCTTCTTCTCTTCCTGAAACTCTTGCTGCAATCAAATTCTTCTTACAACTATGGCTTCAAAATCACAGAAGCAAAGTGATTTGACTTTAGAGAATCCCTCTCCTGAAGCAACATCGCACACCCAAATGATGAAATCGGTAATCAAAACCCTAGCCCCGGCCAACTTGAATACTACTATCTTGATCGATATCACAAAGAACGCTAAGGGACTTGGCCCAGCGTTTCTTAATCGATTCCCTCCTTTGTTATCCTCAATTTATCCCCAGGCTGAGCAACAACTTCCTTTCTCAAAACGTCTCTATCTGACAGCGGAAAGGGACAAACCCACCCTCTCTGTCAGAAATTGGCATCTACCAATGCTCCAATGGAACGACTGGGTGGATCGTGTATCAGCAACAAAATGAGAGCAATAGAAAATGATGGGAATTTACAACCTCATTCAACTCAGTAAGATCCCTTTTATTTTTGACCGAGCCTTGTTTTTTGCTTCTTTACACTTTTGGTCCCCCACAACCAATTCTCTACACTTGCACTGTGGTATGATGGCTCATACCTTGAGGGATGTCTGTTTTTTAATGGGATTAAAGCCTGGGGGAGACGAAATCAATTATCTCCTTCAAGATGAAAAGATCTCTTTTTATTTTCCTGAACAAAAAGGGGCTAAACCCTTTGTGCAATCACATGGTCCTTTCTTAAAAGAAATGTTAGGGGAAGAAGGGACCGATATAGATGAACAAGAACATATAGGGTTTCTACTATTGTGGTTGTGTAGATATTTGTTGTGTACCCCTGCCGTTCAGATCACCAAGGACCTTACTCAACTGGCCATTGCCCTATCGAAAGGAAAACCCATGGCATTAGCTCTGTTTCTCTTAGCCTCTTTATACAGAGGCTTGTCTAACCTCATTACGTCCAACTTTTCAAGGTCTGAAGGACTATTTTGGCTTTACCAATTCTGGTTGCATGCATATTTTCCTGAACTTGCTCTTCCTATTCGGCTTGCTCCAAATGATCCTTTGCTGTCATTCGGATATGCTAGAGTCAAACCCAAAGACCATTCCTTTAATGACTATTTTCAATTCTTCTATCATCAGTGCAAAATCAGGACTCAATCCCAATTCTTTCCCTTTTCCAAATGTCAACTAGCTCCATCTTGGTTGTTTCCCCCTACTGCCGAGTCTTCTCCTGAACAGATTTACCTTTATATCACTTCATGGGGCCACTTCTTGATCGCAAGAGATATACCTTGCAATACCGTTGCTCCCAATTTGCCCAAGAGCCGAACTGGGGTTGAGTTTTACAACCCAGCGCAGTTAGCTCGGCAATTTGGATTGACGTAGATGATCCCAATGCCTCCCCATTTTTCTTACAACAAGAACTATCACAAGTGGGTTAAGCTCTCAAACAGTGAACAGATTCAAGATGTTACCAATCGGTTTACCCAACGTCTTCAAGAATTTCAGTACAAATCCTTTCTAGAAGAACCGCATACAGATCTAAGCTTCGAAACCTGGTGGGCGTCATATATTAATTTTACCAGGACTGTAGATTCCAGTCAACTTGTATCCACCCTCCTTGGCTCCTACAAATTCATATCCCTCAAATTTCAAAGTGTTGATTCCCTTGAACCCGTTGATCTTACTACCGCTCCTGAGCCAGAGAACATAACAAATATTGCACCAACTCGTCCTCCTCTAGCAGCTCCTGCAGGTAAGACCAGAACTCGCTCTCGGCAAAGTAAGTTTTCTATCATCTTCTTTCTATCAATACTTCTATTTGGTTTATATAATCACTTAACAATGGATAATGTAATTCCAGGCACATATTCCAATGCACCAGAGAAATCTGGTACCAAATCTGAAGAAATTCACATTGATTTTTATGTTCCTTTGCAAAGTATTCCCCCATCCTCGGCTACTCAGGTAATACTCCTAACCGAATCATATATATCCTTTTTGATGCATACCATTCCCTTACTTAAACTTCTTCTCCAGAAAGCTACAAGAAGGAAGACCATAGGAAAGAAACCCAAGAAATTAAGAGGCAAGAGACATTTTGATTTGATTGATGATGATGAAGCGGATGATGATGAAGTCATCTCCAAGAAGAAAAAGTCTACTACCGAATCTCCCAATGTAATTTCTTTCTTCCTGATCTTATATATATATATATATATATATATATATATATTACTCCTTGAATATAATTAAATCGGCATTATTTGCAGAAAGCTCAAGATTCCTCAGATCAAAAATCAATTCAAGAAATCTCTACTGACCATGTCGAAGATGAAGACAAAATTGAAGTGTCAGTAGGATAAAAATCAAGGTCTCCAGTATCTTCCACAAACCTGGCTGCAACTTCAATTGGTGAACAAATTAGAGATTCTGATGAAGTGAGTAACGATATATTTCTATATATATACATTTCTTTTATGTCCTGTTCTTGTAAACTTATTATGGCTATGGAATGTTTTAGGTACAACATGGCTCGGGTAATCCAACCAATCCTGTTAGTACCAACCCAAGCTCTCCCTTTAACACCCTTGACTCTTTATTTGATTCTGTCTTTGACTCACCTGATCTTAATCCTCCTGAAATTCCAACTGAACCAACCTCTGACATACCCCCAGAAGTAACAAAAGCTATCCAGATATTGTCCCAAATGGTACAACAGGATTTGTCTCTTACCCCTTCATTCAAAAATGAACTGGCCGAGACACTTTATTTCCTTGGTAGTTACCCTGGATTCTCCTTGAATGATCAAACCTTCTTCAAAAATTTCCAGCTTCGAGTGCCTTCTTTGACAACTGTTTATGCTGAATCAATCCATACTATTGATCACTACTCTTCCTAGTATCATAAGAAAGAAAAGCTTTCTCAAACTTTAAAGAAAGGAAAAGAACTGCATCTATCCTTGAAGAAAGAGGCTGCTGAGCTGGATGCTAAGGAGAAAAAGCTTCAAGCCGAACTTGCTCAACTTCAGTTAGACAGGACACAGCTTGGTAGTAAGGTGGCTGATCTAAGGGTTCAAGCGGAGACTGCAGCTCTCAAATTCAAATCTTTACAAGCATAGATGCCGAAGTTAGAACAAAACAAGAAAGTGGCAGAAACATCCCTTAATCAATCTCGGGCTTTGTGGGCAGACTTCAAAGCCAAATTTGAAGAATTTCACAGTAATTTAACCAGAATTTGAACATTCATGGGTCTGTAATATGTTTTGAACAATTTGCCTTTTGTGATGCGCTGAATAGTCTCGCTATGATATTTTTGCTTTTAAAGTATACTGAGCTTCTATTTACTATATAACCACACTTATTCATAATTTATTCAAACAACAAGGCAAAAATACAATCCAAACTATTTTGACTTAACTGGAAACTTCTTTTCTTCCATAAGCTCAAAAATAGTTGGCTTATATTTTTTAAGGTACCTTCCATTTATTGGCCTTTCATG